ATATTTGANCGTTCGGCACGGTCACGGGTCGTGGGCTTGGGCTTGAACCAAGTTGATATATATTTTTATGGTAAAATAATATTTGAATTATATTATTTTATTCTCTGCGCGGCACGTGACATTTTCTAGAATTTGGCAGTTGACTGTTAATCTGCCTATTCAGATGGGTTATCTGTTCAAGACACAACTTTTCGGTTTTTATTTCTTTTCAACACAACTTATATAGGTCCTTCTATGACGAATTTTATTCATTTCAAAAATCGTTCTCGATTTTTTTCTCTTGCAAAATATAATCTGTCGCCCTTCCATTATTCCTTCCTTATTGTGCAATTCAATCCCGAATATTAACTTTGTGCATTTTAGTCCTCTAGTTTTAGAGAGATCAAAACATTAGTAGGTTCGTTGAGTCTTTGTCATTTGGAGTGCTTCTATTACAAGTCGAGATCGTTATATCTTGAAAGACGAATGTCGGTAGACCATTAGCACCAGTGTTGAGCATTATCGTATTAAGAAGAAAGGATCGAACTCTTATCTCGACCACCATCATTCTATTTTATTCCGTTCATTCTATAAGTTGGAATTCTGCCCAGCTGTTTATTCGTTGTAAAAAAATTATTTTGAATATAAATTATTGCATGGTAAAATCAATATTTATTGAATAATCTTAAGATGATAATTCTTGTTTACGTGCTAATTTATATTCTGAAATTTTGTTAGATTATGGCAAGTAATACTTCATCTATCGTACCCCCTAACAATGCTCATGGGAAGAAATCGAAAAATTCACGGGAGTAGATTTTAAGAGATAACAACAGAAAATGTTGTTTTATCTCACAACTCTGAATTTGGCGAAATTCTTAAGTGAAGATTGTCTAACTGTTGAGGAGGAAACAGATCCTAAAAATCGAGCAATATTGGATGCATGGCTTCTTGTGCTGGAACTACATTTTCAATTGCCTTGGTAACACGCTATATAGTGTATACTTGATTGAGTCTTCTAATTTATGACGTAATAGATTAATACATATTAATGTCAATATTTTATGTATATTAGTGAGTTTAGATTTATTGTCTTCTATTTCATTTGATCAAAATCATAGGTGTTAAACTTGTGTAGAGGCTAAATTATCCAAAACATTGTTTCATTCAGTTGAAAGAAACTCGAATCCTCAAAAATTAAGTGATATATATGATTTAAAGTTTGTGCAAACTAAAAGATAAAAAATATTTTATTACTTTTATAGATGATTGCACAATGTAATATTATGTATATTTGCTAAGAAGCAAAGACAAAGTCTTAAAAGCATTTAAGCAGTATAAGAATGGGATTGAGAATCAACTTACCAAACTAATAAAAGTTGTTCGTAGTGATAGAGGTGGGGAATATGGAGCGCCGTTTGAAAAATTTTGTTCAGACTTTTGGATTATTCGTCAAACTACAGCTCCATATTCACCTCAGTCGGACGGTATTGTTTAGTGCAAAAATCATACTCTTAAAGAGACGATGAACACTAATGTTGATTAGTTCTGGTTAATCTCAGAATTTGTTTTTTGGGGGTTTGGGGGTGCAATTCTATGAGCTAACCACATTCTAAATAAATTACCACACAAAATTAAGAATGATATAAGTTATGAAAATGTCATAAACTTTCGTATAAATGCTTAAACGTGTGGTGGCATTTGGCTAAGGTAGAAGTACCAAAACCTAAACAAGTTAAAATATGACCTAAAACCATCGATAACATATTCATTGGATATGCTAATAACAGTAGTGCTTATCGGTTTCTCGTACATAAGTCTAACATTCCAGATATACATGAAAATACCATCATTGAATCTAGGAACTTATGATAACATTCCTTGCAAGGTAAAAAAGAGATAAGTTTGACAAAACGAACTTATGATTTTGTAATTGTTAATCATCAAAGAGATGAAGAACAATATAGTAGCAAAATGACCAAAATATCTATATCTTTTGGTCAAGATTTTTTAACTTATTTGTTAAAAAATAAACATAAAACATTTAATAAAGCAAATATCTAAGTCCAAAAGCTCCATTATGGAAAGAGGTTATCATTAGTGAAATTGATTCTATTATGAAGAATCATACCTGAGAGTTGGCAGATCTCTCACTTAGTAACAAACTGTTATATTGTAAATGGATTTTGAAAAGAAAATAAAAAACTGATGGATCAATTGATAAATATAATGCCAAATTAGTAGCTAAATGATTCAAATAAAGATGTCTTATTTTTTTTATACATACTTACATGTGACAAGGATAACATCTATTAGAGTATTAATTGCAATCTCACCGTTTCATAATTTGGAGATCCATTAGATGAACATTAAAATAGTTTTCTTAAATGGTGAGCTAGAAAAATAAATTTACATGGAACAACATGAGTGAATCATTGCTCTTGGATAGGAGAAAAGGGTGTTAGACTCTTTAAGTCATTATACGGACTAACACAAGCGCTAAAACAATGGCATGCAAAATTTGACCAAATTATGTTGTCAAATAATTTTAAAATTAATGAGTGTGATAAACATGTTTATATTAAAATCACACCTAATATTATATATATGTATGTTTATGACATGCAAATTATGGATAGTAATCATGATATCATAATTACCAAGAAAATATTAACAAAACACTTTACATATAAGATATGAGCATTGCATATATAATGTTAGGAATTAAAATCCTTAAGTACATTTCTATCTCAATTTCACTATATTGAAACTGTACTCAAGAAGTTTCATATATATGATGAAAGTCCCATTAAAATTTCAGTAGACTTAATTCTACATTTGGCCAAACATAAAGCCGAACATGTATCTCAATTGAAGTACTATCAAATAATAGGCAATCTAATGTATATGACAAATTACGCTCGTCCAGATATTGCATATGCAGTAAACAAGCTTAGTAGATTTACAAGTAATCTAAATAATGACTATTGGAAAGCATTGGTAAGAATTCTTAGATATCTACAATATACGTCAAATATTAAATTATATTATACTAGATATCCAGCTGTATTAGAAGGATACAGTGACACTAATTGGATATCAGATACAAAAGATTCAAAATCCACTAGTAGTTATGTTTTTACCATTGGTGATGTGACCGTATCTTGAAAATCCTCTAAACAAACGTATATAGCTCAATCTATGATAGAACTTGAGTTCATACTTTTAGATGAAGCAGAATGACTTAGTAATTTTTTTGAGGATATTCCATGTTGGCTTAAACATGTACCTACAATTAGTATGTATTGTGATGTCAATCGTCTATCAGTAGAGCACACAGTAATATGCATAATGGTAAGTCTCGAGTCTCGACATATCCGTCGAAGACATAATACAATTAAGTAGTTTATCTCAAATGGTATTATTTCTATAAATTATGTAAAATTTAGAGAAAATCTCACGGATTCACTTACCAAAAAGTTACCAAGATATCAAGTATACTACATATCAAGGGGAATAGGCTTAAATCCTACTACGTAATGATTTTTGTAATGGTAACTCAACCTTATTGACGGGAGATCTCAAGATCTTGGTTTAATGAGACAACTAAGTTTTAAAGATTCAAGGAGCACTTCGTAGTTAAATCCTGTCCTTTCCTATGATAAGAAAAGTGATATGTATAGAAAGTTTTAGGTTAAGTTATATTTTTAGGGTAAATGAGAAATTAAGGCAAAAAAATAACCACTTAAAGTTAAAATAAATTGTGAATAAAAATTGGTAAGAAATTGAAAAATGCTAATCCTACATAGGAAAATTGGAAGAATAGAAATCACTTTATATTGCTCAAGTTTGAGACTTGGGTTGGGCCTCATGGGTACCTTCGAAGGGAAAAGAACCTACATGCTAATAGGTTAAGCAAAAGCTTACAAGCGCATGTCGTCGTCGCCATCCAACTGGTCGGCTCGGCACGGGTCGTGGGCTTAGACTAAATTGGTATATATATATTTTTTGGAAAATAATATTTGAATTTATATTATTTTATTATTAATTTAAATAATATATATTAATTATTTATTTTACCGAATTTTTCTCTGCGCGACACGTGGCATCTTCTAAAATTTGGTGGTTGACTGTTAAACTGTCTGTCCGAATGGGTTGTGTCTGTTCAAGATTCAACTTTTTGACTATTGTGTCTTTTTGACACAACTTCTCAACTTATCCCCATATGCTGAATTTTATTCATTTCAAAAATCATTTCTGATTTTATCTCTTGCGGAATATAATCCTTCTATCCTGCGTTATTCTATATTGTGCATTTCAATCCTAAATATTAATTCTGTGCATTTTAGTTCTCCAGTTTTAAAGAGATCAAAACATTAATAGATTTGCCACATCTTGTAATTTTGAGTGCTACCATTACAAGTTGAAGTCATTGTTTCTTGAAAGACGAGTTTCTATAAACCGTCGCACCAATACGTGGCATTATCGTCTTAAGGAGAAAGAATCAAACTCTTGCCTCGACCATTATCATTCTATTTTATTCCGTTCATTCTGTAAGTCGAAATTCTGCCCAAGTGTTTATCTGATGTAAAAAGATTATTTTAAATATAAATTATTGCACGGTAAAATCATTATTTATCCAACAGCAACATGTGCATGTGCAACACCAGTTATTGGCCTAAAATCACTAGTTACCAAATCAGCCTAGAGGATGCAGTACAACACGCGCACACTTCCAGGCATCCAGCAAGAGTTTGATATTCTGCTATACAAGTAGAACAATGCAATGTCTGAGGAGGAATTCTGAATTCTTATGAAGAACCTTGCTGTAACAACTCTAAAAAGTAATTAACAGTGGTGAGTTTCAAACATTAACTTCAATTGAATGTCTGTTAGATTGTCAACCTAGAAACTTATCCTATTTATGTTCCAAGTTACATCTCCATACAGTGATAACTGATAACCGATAACTGTAACAAGTTTGACATACAAGAGGTGTTTGGAAACGTGTAAATTCTCTCTCAAGAAGCAAAAGTTTTGAGGTAATCAAATTCAATGACAAATGTTCGTATCTCCATTGGAGCAAGTTCTACAACTAGCTTTACAGGATCAACAACTCCTCCTTTCACTACAGTGAGTTCTTCCGGAATGCCTTCAACTTTCCAGTCTAGCCTCTTCTTCTCCACCTTTCTTCTTTCTTGGTTGGCTGACAAATTCATTTCTGTGACCTTGATAATCTGGAAAAAAATAATATGGCAGAAAAATGAAATTAAACACATATTGGGTCATGGATGATTTATTTTTATTTTTTTTTTCCTTTCTTTTTATAGGGGATCAGATCTTTCTTGAAACTATGAAAAGCTTGGGTTCAACCACTATTCTAGCATAACTTCCTAATGAAACAGCAATTAGGACTAGAATGCTACTAATACCTTCTTGTCAGGGAAGAGCTTTTTCAGTTCCACACTAGTCAGCACTGAGTAATCTTTATCCTCGCCCACCTTTGCACACATCAAACACACATGAAACAGCGAAATTGGCTTTACATACTAACTAAAACTTGACCAAATAACAAGACTCTGTAGATCAAAAGTCAGGATGTAGAACACCTACATGGCTACACATAATACCAGGCAAACTAGAGCTTACAATCTCAACAATGCCAATCTTGGGGTTCAGAAGGAGGTACACGAACAACCAAAAATATGAATGCTGGAGTGTTCATTTCACCTAGGGCATCTGACGCATAGGGAGGATAATAATTTTTGACTGAAACCAACTATTTATTATTCTAGGCCATGCCACTTACTAATGTAGAGCAAAGGAAAACAAACTAGAAGGTAAAATCAAGGAAAAAAGAAAACAAGGAACTCGTATTGTTATTGGTTGCCCGAGAAAATAGATTATGTTTACAGAAGAAGAAAATGAAGAAAATAGCTGGATTTACTGATTAAGAAATTGAGATCCTTGTTAATTACATGCTATGTATATATAAATAGCTAGGCAGTGTTTCTTTATTTGGATTTTACCTGTTACGATTTGATTGTATTGCTGCATATTATTAATCTTTCCTTTTCTAGCTCCTGGACTAGCCACAAGAGCATGTCTAACCTCAAAAGTTTACTTATAACTTAAAATTAATAATTTTTTTAATTGATCAAAGTCGGACATGTTACCTATTGATGTAGGACGGTCTTATTATAAATAGAACAAAAGTTCATTATTTATAATAAGATTTATAGTTGTAATAGGTTTTTTTTTTTTTATTCTTACGTCTTGTTTAGATTATCATTTCTTTTCTTTATTGAATAGAATAGGATTTTTAATTTCTTTTAGATTAGGATTTTATTTTAGTTTCTTTATATTAATAAGATTAGGCCCTTATTTGATCCTCATTTTTTGCAAAATATATTTTTCTCTTTCTTCTTTTCAACTACACATTTTTTAATAAAATAATATTATATGCAAATCCAAAATTTTTCTTTATTTTTTAACCACACATTCTCCATCAATCTACTATCTCCAAATGCATTCTACACAAAAAATAGGGCTCAAACAGGCCCTAGGAAATAATTTTGCCTATATATAGAAAGGCTTTGTACACTTTTTCGAAAATCAATTCAACTAATTCAATATTATAAAATTATTCTCTACATGGTTTCTAATTTTTTAACTTTATTCTTGTTTCAGAAATTCCAATTCCACTTCCACACCACCTATTTTTCTAGTAAGATAATAGTTACTTTCAAAATAAGTAACTTTTTTAGTTAAAAAGTAACATAAACATGATTAAACATAAATAAGTAATTTTACCTTTTATGCTTAGCCAAACATGCTCTAATTTTGTAGCTCATTCCTATAGAAATAAGAAATATTCCAGTTCCATTCCTTAATAAAAAATTTAAGTCACAATAAAAAAATCTCAAACAAGTACGCATCATGCAGGGACTGAGTGTGCTGTTACACATCTACTATTAAAATAATAATGGCAAGTGAAAAAATTTACATGATCTCTGATTAAAAGCTGAAAGGCATTAGCATGTAAAACATCCTGTATTCTAATATTTTCTTCCGTACATTTTGTTCCCTTTGCAACGTTGTGAGATTATAATTTCATTTAGTTCAAATGTCCACCAGTCTGAATAAATCCAGATCTGCCAGCAATCACTAAATTTATGGAGCTCAAAGCATTCACAAGCAACGTTCTTTGGAGAATATAATAGGAAACTGATGCTTTCAAGGTTTCAATAGAAAATCATCTCAAGAGAGGAAAGACGGGTTCAAATTCTAAAGTAGGTTTTCTGTGGTCAGCATAGTTGGTCTTCTGTGGTCAGTATTTCAGTACATCAACCATTTAATCTGAATGGGATGAATGAAAATTTGATCTTTTTTTAATTCAAAATGATAATTAAAAATTTGCCAAGCACCAAAAAGAAGATAAGCAAAAGAAAGGATAAGACCTCGTATAAGTGAGCCAACCGAAGAAGAACTTTGCCACCTACAAGTTCCTGCACTTACCAAGAACAAAGTCTAATATGAAAAGGCAAAAGTTTAAAGATCACTATAACCAGAATTTCAGCCACATGTACCTGAAGTGTAATCACTGCAATGTTGTTGGGCAAAGTATAGGACGGATCGATACCTGAAAACATAGTTATGTGGGAACCCATCCACTTATTTATCTCCTGTAAGAAGCGAATCAATTTCCATCATTTGGATGATACACAATCTCACCTCTTCAGAAAATGAAGCAAATCAATTTGAATGTAATGAGATATTACCCAATCTCACCTCTTCAGAAAATGCAAGTAGAAGTGGAGAATAAACCTCTTGTCCAAATGTGCGGCGCCACTTGGCCCCTTCACCTCGAGGATCAATTCTCATAAACAATTTCCCTTGAATCTGACAGGAGAATTTTAAATAATAAAATTTGGAAGAAAGCAGTTCACAGTGTATTGGAGAGATCATATAAATATATCTTCGAATTTCAACTGAACACGAACAAGACTTCTCATATTTCTCGAGGTGGTAATTTTCTCATGGTTAAGATAAGGTTAATGGTCAACAGAATTTGAGCAAGAAAGTTCTAAACAGTATAAACATGTTTTGACATGAGAAATTAAGAAAATAAAGTTCGAGTCAGAATTGAAGTAATCAGGCGAATAAATTTAAAAGGTGAACCTTGGGACATAGCAATTAGCATTCCTATAACTGGGAGGAAAACAAAACTTAGAGAAAAAGATGATTAATTTGAAACTCGCTGTTGAGGAAATTTAGGCAGGGGTTGAAACAGAGAATAGAAGGAAAACCATTGACGAACCTAAGGGCCTGCTTGGGAGTTTTATTTTTCATTGGTTTTGATCAATTTTGGATGGTACTATTTAGGAGGGGTTAAAAAATCGATGCTTACTACTTTTTTTGGGCACCGATTTGAATGGTTAAAAAACCACCCAAAACAATTGTAGTCTAATTTTGACCAGTTCTCTCAACCCACCAAATCGGCGGATTTTGGCTGTTTCTTATATTCTCCTCTAATTTTACTCTTTATAAAATAATTATTTCTAACCAAAACTTTCGGAACCGGTGCATAAAAAACTCCCAAACATAAGTTGGACAGTTTTAAAATTCCCTATTAAAACCACTCAAAATCAATCCGCTCATAAATGCTTAAAATCGGTACTTTAAAAAACGCTTATAACTCGTACACTGAAACTCCTAAGCAAGCCCTAAGGGGTTCAAGTTGAAATTATTACCATGATTTTGCATTTGTATATATTGCTTGAATAAAATAATTACCGTCAGACCCTTGCAATTGTCAAGAACGCAGGCTTCTTCATTAAGTGCCTCACCTACACCTCTTGCATCATCATTAAGCAGCCTCCTATACAACAGTGAGAAATGTAATGTCACATATACATACGACACAAGCACACCCGATTTTCCGATACTGCGAAAAACTTGAAGAAAGACGTGGAGATGATAACAGCCAACCTATGAAGCATCAGCTCTATTTGGCCATCCACCAGACTTGACCCACCAACTGCACGGTCCACCAACACAGAAACTTCCATACTTTCATCCTCCAGATAGATACCAAGATTTATCTACAAAAAAATAAATAAATAAATTATGACTGAGAAACAGAAGAATGCTACTTATTTACTACTTCTAGAGGCACCAGTTCCCGAATACTTTTCATATGACAATTGATGTACTTTCAAATGAATCATACAGCAGCACTGAACAGTTAAAAGATCACTAAACATACACAACTAATTTGAACGGTTCAGTTTATATTGACATACGGGGTAATAATTGCCAGCAATTGGTTGGTGTATTTCCAGGTCCCAGTCAGATCTATGGTCTCGGATCTGCAAGGAAGAATCAGATAACCAATTGATAAAGATAAATTTCCTAGATCAAGTCAAAATTCTCTCTCCTACTTTGTTTCTTTTACTTTCTTCTGTAGGGACTGTTAGAAGAAAAACTAAAGATGCTCAGCAAAATGAGAGTCAAAACCAAAATTACATATTAACCCATTTCATGAAATCACACCCATTAATTATAACCTTCCATAAAATCACATCCATTAATTAGAAGTATACCCTTTTAATGAAATCACGCCCATTTGAGTCCGTATAGAAAGTCTTATTTGTACTCAAGGATGTTATAATTTGAGCCGTTATTTCTTTTCCAAATCCATCATCCACAGGTATAGGTCCAATCTGTAATAAAAAATGACATCCGAACATCAAAATTACATCAGTGAAACATTAAACATCATTCTGACAAGCATGTTCTAAGTAATCAATACAGGTAAAAACTTACAGTAAATTCAACTTCAGCATGTTCCTTTTCCTTGTATACCCTGGTTACCTGCATATATGTTGTGATAGCTGCTATAATGAAAAGAATAAAGACCAAGAGTGAAACAGTCTGCTGAAGTAGGTATAGCTATCATAATTAAATTTAAAGAAAGGCTGCTGAAGAAAGTATTTCCATGATTACACAGTCAAATAGGATTACAATGGGTTGTTTATATAGAACTATAATCCCAAATTACCCTTACAATACAGTACCGTACCACGGCCCCCAACTTATCTACCATAACCTAATGGGCTAGTTGATTATGCTACAGGTCAGGTTTATCGGCTCCGCTCCATCAACTAGCCCCCATATACAAAAATATGAGCCACCTAATCAACATAAACTAAAATACACATGCTTCCAATGTAAAAGTATCCAAGTTCTCCAAAGTAGAGTGATAAAATAAGCTGAATGGAGGAATAGGGAAAATGTTGCAGCATGAAAATTCAAAGTAATAATTACAGAACTGTATTTTTCTTTGAACAAGCACCTGATGTAACCATGTATTAGGCTGATGATGTACTTCATCCAATATTGGGCCGCTTAAAACAGTCAAAGGAACCTGGCAGTAAGAGATATACCCATTAAACTTCATGAACCTAATATAAACATTTAAAGAAATGTGAAACTTGGAAACAAATAGTTTCTGAGTAAAGGATGATAAATAGGTAAAGGACAAATAGAAGAAGACAAAAAGAATTGGAAGAGAAAACTGTGTTTCTGCCTTACATTGTTCATTGAGTAAACATCCTTTAAATATGCAAAATTACAATGGATAATACCAAGAAAATAGCAACAAACTCTGACCACTAACTTAAACATGTAATCATGCAAACTTACTCCTACAAACCACTTACTATAACAATAAAACTGAAATAAATAAATGCATGAAAGTGCCTACGAAATAGGACAAAAAAAACAACCAATTATTGACCAAGTCATATCAGTAGCGAATTTTCTTCACACTGGACTTTCCAAAGTACAGACACCAAGCAAATTTCAAAGCTTCACGAACGATGCTATTTTGAGAGGCTTGGTCATTATATCAGCAATCTGATTTTCACTCTTGCATTAAGAAAGACCAATGACTCCATTCTTTGTGAGATCTCTTAAAGAGTGATACTTCACATCAATATGCTTGCTTCTTCCATGTAGAACGGGATTTTTGGAGAGCTTTATTACTGAACTGTTGTCACAATAAATTGTAGTGGCTCCTTCTTGCTTGCAATGAAGCTCTTCAAGAATTTTTCTCAACCAGATAGCTTGACAAGCACATGATGTTGCAGCAACAAACTCTGCTTCAGTTGTTGATAAAATAACAATTGCTTGCTTCTTTGAAGACCATGAAACAACTCCCGAGCCCATCATAAAGATATATCCAGATGTGTTTTTCTATCATCTGGATCTCCAGCATAATCACTGTCAGTAAAGCCAACTAAATCTGCATTTTCTCCCTTCTGGTAGAACTGACCAAAATCAGTTGTACCTCGCAAGTATCGAAAAATTCTCTTTGCAACAAGAAGATGCATCTCCCTGGACATTCCATATACCTGTTAATAAGACTTACAGCATGCATTATATAAGGCCTTGTTGCAATCAAATACATTAAACTTCCCACAATTTGCTTGTATAGAGTGCTATCCACCTTTCTTCCTTCAACGTCTTTCATCAGCTTTAGACTAAACTCAATTGGTGTGTTAATAGAATTGCAATTCTTCATCTAAAACCTGTCTAAAATTTCTTGCACATATTTCTTTTGAAAAATAAAAATACCAGCAAGGGTTTGCACCACTTCTATGCCAAGAAAGTAGTTCATCATTCCAAGATCAGACATTTCAAATTCGAACATCATGGAGTGCTTAAATTTTTCAAACATGGCACCATCATTTCCAGTATAAATCAGATCATTCACATATCAGCAAACAATGAGCATTTTTCCTCTATCTCCAAATTTAATGAAAAGTGTATGCTCATATGGACATTTCTGAAAACCTTCCTTCAAAAAATAAGCTTAAATACGATTATACCAAACCCGTGGAGCTTGTTATAGTCCATAAAGAGCCTTTTTTAATTTATACACTTTATGCTCATTTCCAATCTTGATATAACCAGGAGGTTGATCAATAAATGCTTGTTCTTTCAAATCTCCATGCGAGAACATGAGTTTTGCGCAGCCAAGGTAATCACCAATCTGATTGTATCATGCCTCGCTACCGGGGCAAAAACTTCTTTATAATCAATGCCGAATTTTTGTTTATAGCCTTATGCTACCAAACGCGCCTTAAACTTGTCAACTTCACCATTCTCCTTCAACTTCGTCTTGAACACCCACTTCACACCAATGGACTTTTGCCCTTTTGGAAGCTCCGTCAGCTTCGAAGTATTATTTCTTTAAATGGCTGTGATTTCAACATCCATTGCCTTCCACCACTTTGATTCTTTAATAGCATATTCATAAGCTATTGGGTCACAATCTGAAAATAAAGCAAAATGAGTAAGGGAATCGTCAATTTCGTCAGTTTGGTCAATCCCGGTGACCTCATAATCAGTCATCCATGCAGGCCTCTTTCTAACTCGTCAAGGTCATTCATCTTCTGTTTTAGCGGCTGATATACGTTGATTGATTGCTGGTTGTTGCTCATTTTCTACAGGTTGCACATTCTCCAAAGGTCGTTGCATTTCTTCTCCATTTTCTCCATCAAAATCAGCTTGTATTTGTTGTTCAGTATTATTTTCATCCCAAATCCAAAATCGTTCTTAATCAAAAATCACGTCACGACTAATGACAATTTTCTTAGTGATAGGATTGTACAATTTGTACGCTTTTGACCGCTCAGTAACACCAAGAAAAATGCATTTTCCTCCTTTGTCATCAAGCTTTCTTCTTTTCTGATCTGGTATGTGGGCATACGCAATGCAACCATATATTCTGAAGTGATCGACACTTGGTCTTCGTCCATTCCAAGATTGTTCAGTACATGAATGCTCCAATTGACAGCTTCGGGCCAAAATAATTTTAGGATACCTGTTCAAGATTGTGCGATTCTCTCTCCGAAACGCCATTTTGCTGTGGGGTATAAGCTGCTTCTGAATCCCACACTCCTTACAAAAATTTATAAATTCTTGTGAGTTATATTCTCCACCACGATCGCTGTGAAGAATCTTTATAGGCATGCCTGCTTCTTTTTCAACTCGCGCCTCGAAGTTTTTGAAAGCTGAAAAGGCTTCAAATTTCTCCTGCAAAAAATAAACCCAAGTTTTCTGACTATAATCATCTATGAATGTTATAAAATAATGTTTACCACCATTTGATGTCGGATTAATGGACCCGCATATATTGGAGTGAACCAGCTCCGGCACTTTCTTTGCTCTCCATGATTTTCCTTTTTGAAAATGTTCTCGGCGTTGTTTGCCAATGACACATTCTTCACATATTTGAGGACTTTGAATTTGCGGAAGACCTGTCACCATGTTTTTCTGCTGCAGCGTTTTTAAACCACCAAAATTCAGATGTCCATAGCGAAAATGCCGCAACCAGGTTTCGTCCTTCAATCTCACAGAGAAACATGATTACGTGGTGTTGTCAAGATACAGTGGAAACATCCGGTTTGTTGTCATGTTGACTTGAGCAATTAAGCCCAATTTTTTCTCTTAAATGCGACAAACTCCATCTTTGATAGAAAGCTCATATCCCTTCTCTTGTAGTTACCCAACACTTAGCAAGTTAGTTTTCAGATCTGGAACAAAGAAAACATTAGAAATAATCTGATTGCAGTTTACTTTGGTGTGCATTTTTAGACTTCCTTTACCTATGACAAAAACTTTAGAATTGTCGCCAAAGGTTACGGTATTGCGGAATGATTCATCCAAATCTGAAAACATTGACTTGTCTCTGCACATATGGTTGCTGTAGGCGATATCTAAATACCACAAGTTTTGGTGGACTTCTTTTTTCGCATGACAAGACATCAAGAGAAAGACTTCTTCTTTCTCTGCAAAATTAGACATTTCTCCATGTTGTCTATTCAGATTAGTTCGGCATTCAGACTTGTAATGACCATACCTATGACATCTGTAGCACTCCACATTGGACTTGTCTGCTGACCTTTGCTTGTAACCTTGTGAATGGTGACCATTACGTCCTCTTCCTCTTCCTTGAATGTGTGAGAATTGATTATCTTCAAAATTCTGATGTGAGCTTCTGTGATCTTTGTTTTGTCTACATCTACCTCTTCCACCTCTTCCTCTTCCTGCCGATCGATTCGGTGTAGAAGCATGATTATCAACTAAAGCCTTTAAAGCCTGCTCATCTTTGTCTTGCTGGACAATTTTCCCTTCATGAACAATAAGAGAACTACGCAATTCATCAATAGAGAGAGTATCAAGATCTTTAGATTCTTCAATCGAAAAAACAACAAAGTTAAATTTTGGAGTCAATGATCGAAGAATTTTCTCAACGACGACGACATCTTCCGTCTTATCTCCGTGAATTCGTAGCTTGTTTAAGATTGCCATCGTCCTTGGGAAGAAATCATTAACTGATTCTCCTAACTTCATGCACATAAAGTCTCAAAATCAGTTCGTAGTGTCTGGAGTTGCACACGTTTTGATCTTGCTGATCTCTGATACTTCTTCTTCATAGAATCCCAAATGTCCTTGGAGGTGTTCTTACAAAGAATGGTTTCAAGTATTGAACGATCAATAGCTTGAAAAAGGTAATTCTTTGCTTTGAGATCCTTCACTTTTTGCCCTTCAAGTTCCGACCACCGTGCTTTAGTCACCACAGTGTCGGCTGCTGGTTCTGCTAAACCAGACTCTACGACTTGCAAATACTCTTTTGATCTCAAAAAATTTTCCATCAACATGCTCCAATGGTCATAGTGACCATCAAAGCGTGGGATTGCTGCTTGAACAAAGCTTTCCGAAGTCGTCTGCTGCTGCAACGTCAAAATATATAAAAAAATAGACTCTGCGTCATGAAAGCTCTACTGCCTCTTTTACTTTTTCACGTGACTCTGTACGGCTAATTTTAGCTCACTTTTCAAACCCTCCTCACTATTTTGGCTCTGATACAACTGATAAATAGGTAAAGGACAAATAGAAGAAGACAAAAAGAATTGGAAGAGAAAACTGTGTTTCTGCCTTACATTGTTCATTGAGTAAACATCATTTAAATAGGCAAATTTACAATGGATTATACCAAGAAAATAGCAACAATCTCTGACCACTAACTTAAAACATGTAATCATGCAAACTTACTCCTACAGACCACTAACTATAACAATAAAACTGAAATAAATAAATGCATGAAAGTGCCTACGAAATAGGACAAAGAAAAAAACCCATTATTGACCAAGTCATTCAACAAACGACAGGGTACAATGACAAAAAATAAGCAAATTCTACCTCGCAATGACAAGAAATAAGCAAATTTCTTACCTTGCCTTCAGGTTTAATAGGGAATGTCGCATTCGGGCGGAAGACATAAGCCCCAGATGCCTTCAGCATAATCACAAAAATTTCAAATAGTTACCAATAATGTAATGAACTTCTAAACATAAACAAGTGAAGTAATAAATTTGGCCTACAAAATAACCAAGAAAAGAGAAAACATAAAAGGCATTAAGAGTTTCTTGAAGAAAAAAGAATACCTGGAAAACTCTATCAGTACCGTTATAGCCAGAGTAATAACTATATGACTGTTCAGCATAAGCTGCAATCTTCATGGGTGAATCAGAAAACAAATTCATCAGCATTATGTGCCAAAAAAGAAAAAGAAAAGCCGTGGTACTCATTTACTTCACCAGTACACTCTTGTTGACTTTCTCGTAAAGAAGTACAAGTAAAACAATTTAAATTTTTTCACCAGAACAGACACCAAGAATGTCCAAAGCAAAATGCAAATGTAATTTATTGATATATTGTCAAGTAATATGTACATTTTATCCTGATTTTGGTGAAGAGAACTTTAAGGAGGAAAAAGATGGAAGATTAAATTTTGGACGCATTCAATTAAATCAAAGCTTCAGCAAAATAACTTACTGAGTTTCTTTTGTTTATGTAACGTGTGAGCTTTCCTTCATCTACAGTGTAAAGTAGCTTCAAATTTCCTTGGCCAACTTCAAAAGTATTATTGATATTTTCTTCTGGAGTAAATTGCGTTGAGATGATTGAGCTTGATTCTGATCATAAATTCCAGGAGAAAAAGAATTATACTATTTGTATAGACAAAGCTGACATCTTCACTTATACATAAAGCACATAATTTTAGTTACTCTACAAAACCACATACCTGTCTTTTTGGCACTTGAGACAACATAAGTGCTGAAACCAAGAGGAGGCACAGTCACTGAAAAGGCAAGCCAATATCTCGCTAAGCTACTGGCTGATCTACGCAAATGTGCTTTGACATGATAGGTTCTTGTGCGTAAAGAGGCATTGGACAAAGGAAGAAGCTGGGATTCAATCTCTTTTCCAGCAGAATCAAGAACAATCAAACTCTCAGAAGAAACCTGTAGCAAATATAACCAATTACTTGTACACAATTCCACAGGGAGTCAAGGATAATAGCTAATTTAAAGGAGTAAACATCAATTACATGGTATCAAATCAATGATATTCACAGCATATAATACAAAATACAAGTCATTAATATTTGTAGCATACAATACAAAATATGAACAATTAGAACTTCATTCCTAACAGATTAAATGCTTTTTCTCAATATATGATATTTTTGACAATCTAAGTATGTTGACAGAAAACATCTAGAAACAAGACAACTTCTTAACTCAATATCCCTGCTGTAAAGCAATGAATGTAGTGTTGTTTATTTTTGAAAGGAATCAACTAAATCTACAAATCGTTTTGATTTTTACGCAACAAATAGGTGAATGTCAATCATCATATCATCAAATACCACAGTTAATGTTCTGAAACATGGAAACTCTTTTGAAACGTCATATATTAACTTCTGTTGGTAATGTGTGAAATCTTTACAAAGATGAAGGAATAGGCTAGAGCACTCACAGGAATTCGGATGACCTCTTTTCTTTTCCATCCAAGAGCATTATAAGCAATTATGATCTGATATATAGAACAGAAAACGTAAAAGAAACCATTAAAAAGGTCATATCAAAAGAAATAAGGAAAAAACACATGAAAAAGAATATTGTTTGACAATAGCAAATTATAGTAAACACGAGAAATAGAAATATATGTTACCAAGCTTTTCTCATCAGTCAAATTAGCCTCTGATGGAGGACAATAGCTTATGTTAAGCAGAGGACACTGAAGCAAAATGAAATAAACACATCAGGGTGCAGTAAATTATTCTAATCGCAAGTCACAAAAAAAGGATAAATATAACAGTGCAATGGAACAACTCAATACTTTTGAGATGGTCCTTGTTGGATGGTGAAAACTTACATACCACCAATCCAATCATTCAAACTAAAATCGAGTATGCCTGTGATAAAAACTACATAATTAGCATTGTCCTCGAAATTTTTACAACCATGCAACTACTCCATTCAAGCTCAGTGAAATAAAGCAGTAAATTATGTAGAGTTCTATCACAAATATCGCGATAATTATTGAATCACATATTAGATGATGTATAATCCACCAAAAATGCAGATGCCAATGAACTAGAATGGCATGATTCTTCAACTACGGTGCTCAGTGATATCAGAAGGCAGTTCAATTATAACAGAACTCAGTTCCAAGTTGAGAATGTATTGCCTGCTGAAACTCGGGGATTGAATCTTCATAAGTCATATTCAATCTCAAGCCTGTTAGCAGAGCCAGTGATGATGCAACCACTTTCTCAGCCTGAAGAAATTAAAACTAAACCGTAAGGATTTCAGTTATTTATACTGAAGGCATGAATAAGTACTGTATGTCTCACTGATACAATATGGTATCATTCTCCACGGACTGAGAGCAAAAGATGAAAGATAACATAGGTTCACTGCGCATGGAAAATTTCCAACCTAAATTAACAGGTACCTCCTTATACCCTATTGAAAGTCGCAGTGCATAATCAGAAGCCACATGTTGCCTTTCGGTACCACTAACTGCATCATGATGCTGAGCAATTGCCAAAGCATCAGCAAGTGCATCTGTGCTTGGTCCTGAACTATTCCTGCCTTTAAAGAACTCTAATTGCCTCGCTGCCTAAATTTCATAACACGAGAAACAACATGATTTTGTAAAGATGCTATACCTCATCACAACTTATGTGTTAAATGTGCACATCTGCTTTTAAGTATACGAGACCACTTACTAAAAAGTAACCACTCATCTCTCTGACATATCTTTTTAATGCTGGTCTACTGGTAAAGTACCCCGTCCAGTATGCATTCTCACGGTCGGCATACCTGGCAAATGTAGTACTAGTTCATACTGAAGCGATAATTTGAGTTAGTTTTCTGCAGACAAATTTTCAAGAAAAACACTCACGGGAAAAAGTCGCCAGTTTTGAGAGGCCACTGCTCATTTGCTGCATGTTTTGCATCTGTGTAAATGGAAGGTGTCGAATATAGAGCATTAACACGCCCATCCTGAGAGCAAGTGAAAAGGATTAATAAAGAATGCGTTAAAAGATATAATTCAGAAAAACAATCACAGAGAGAGAGAGAGCAAGAGACAGAGCAGTAGATGTAAAATTTATTGAGGAAAGACAATAAAGATGTATACCATGTTGACATAGTGAATAAACTTGTCCATCTGCCTAAACCATGAAGCTGCATATTGATAGCGAAAATCTGTTCCCATAGTCCACATTATATGATTTGTCCTGGTTACATTGGCCTGAAATGGGGAAAGGTAACAGTTGTAAACCAAGCACCAAAAAGTACAAAGTACCCATATGCATCACTTAAAATTGACTATCTTGTTTCTTCCAGAACGTCACTGAGAGAGGAGATCTGGGGTGGGTGGGTTTGATGGTAATGCAATCACATAATTTCAGCACACAAGTACCGACTAGAACTACAACAACAAAACACAGTACCTGTAGTAAAGCAGCTGCCACAAAATCATTCACTCGTTCTTCAACATTATAATCAAAGAGCATATCATCATCCTAGATTCAACATTTGGATTACAAAACATTCCGGAATGGAGAATTCAATATTACTGCAATTTTTTTTTCAAACCTGAATGGGAGGGGAAACATCATTTATTTCAAATGTGAAACCATCAGGTGGATCATAATGTATGGGGAATATCCCTGTGAATATCTGGGTAAAATTAAAAAAAGAAGTCAGATGTTTATTCTTGAATCTTCATGACTAAGCAAAACTGCATGATCTGTGGAAGTGATTGGCTGAAACATTTCAGCGTGACGAGAATAAAATAGGACTTCTTGAACAGTTCTAAAATATTCAAGAATTTGCAATTGATCAACCTGGGACGATGAACTGAGGGACCTGGAACCCCGCCAAATAACCTCAAGAGCCTTCTCATCTTTGCGTTTAGCTCTATCTTGGTAATCAATGCGTGCAAAATAGAGCGAGTCAAATCCCAGCTGCAACATAATAATAGTGCAATGGGATCAGAACTGCTTTGCTAATAAATGGAGCAACAATGAGACATGAAAAGTTTGGAAAATCATAAAGTCTTTGCAACCATAAATCAATATTCCTTTTAAGAGAACTATATGTGCTCCATTGAAGATAGAAATTACCAAGATATCCAAGGACTCTTAACATTGAGTGAAGAGAAATGCAATTGAGAATGCTGGAAGAATGGATACCTCCGCACCAAGCAAATAAGCCTGAACAGCTGAATGTCCAAAAGGATCAATCTGCCAACCAACTCTTGGTTTCTGGCCAAACTCACTTTCTATAAAACGATGACCAAGAGTGGTCTGGTCAATCAAATCAATGTAATGGGTGGTGGCCTCATCATGCATACACATTCCTCCATTTCTAACCCCAAAAGAGAAATTATGTGATAAATTAGAGAGACGTGTTGCAGAGCCAAAATAGGAAAATGATAAAAAGAATAAGGAAGGCATAAGTAGGGTTGCCAATGGATTCATCAGGAGATGAATTTAGGGTCTAATAACCCGAACAAGATCCGAATCCGATAATCCGCTAACTAAATTGAGCAAATATGGATACAGGTCAATCCGATCCGATAATTTATTACATATAATTTTTTTCATTTTGAAACTTTTACTTTTAACTATCAAATTCCAATATAACATTAATATGTATTATAACGGATTGGATATTCAATAACATAAGAAATCGAATATGGATTTGACAATCAAATATTCGTTGGATAATTGGATCCGATTCATGAATTATTCTTATCAATATTCGATCCATTTACCGCCCTAGCCATAAGCGACGTACATGAATTCAAGTTGACCAGAGTTAACAAGCTCCTTGACTTTGGTCTTCAGCGTCTCACTCTGCTGCCTCCACCACCTTTGGAAAAATGCCTGAGCAAATTTATTACACTCTTAATTAGCAGCGCGAACGAAAATTACATATTACAACTAGCAGTGGAGTCACTTACTGAACAAGTATCAGTTTTAGGCATTAATTATTATTAGTAAGAGAAAAAGAAAGTGAAAGAACTTGCAATCTTAACATACCTAATTATTATTAATTAGAAAAAATAACGAAGTGAAAGAACTTGCCATCTCAACATAAATGAACTTCCTGTTCTTGTCATCTAATAGTGCTGCGATTACAGAATCCAAGACGTTCTGGACACACGCTCCCTGGGCAATAACAAGTAAATAATTAATCGGGGGTAGGAATGCGCGAGGCATAGGAGAAGAAGGAAGGAAAAATACTCGAATGGAATTGTTGGCGCCGACAAAGTACTGATCAACTGTCTTCAACCAGCCAACATCATCGTGAGAGTGAGGGACCAGATGCACGTTGATTATATCTGGTACGATTCCCGAGGTTGTGTTGTATGCTATGTATTTGGGTTCCACACGAGTCAACCATAGTCCGGCTAATATAGCGGCAACGGTGAAGATGAGCTTCCCGATTTGCATTTGCATTTTATTGGACCAATTGAAATGAAAGATGGAGAGAGAGGATCGGTGCTCGCGAGAGTTGACGAAGAAGCTGGTTGGTTTAGGTATAAGTGTCTAGGTTTAGGTAAAGTGGTTAGATAAAATTTGAAAATTTGTATATATCCACAGTAGAACTTTATATTAAGAGTCCACAGTAGAACTTTATATAAGTGTCTAGGTTTAGGTAAAGTAGTTATGATTTTTCTTAAATTTAAATTATATGCATCATATGATTGTTTGCGATAAGTTGAATTTGAAAATTTTGATTAAGAGTCCTAATACAATTTTTATTAAGTAATTATCTTAATCACAACTATTTAAGGGGCTGGAGCCAATTTTCAGAAGGGATTTTTTGACTGTTAGAGTGGAAGGCGGGTCCCACGCGCGAGTGAAATGGTCAAAAATGACTGTTGATTTCCCATTGTAACGGCTAGAAAAATGATTTTTTGGCATGAAAAATCAGCACCAGACAACCCCTAAACACCCTAACCTACACCCCAATTCACAGAAATCAGGAAAAAAAAAAAAAAGAAAAGAAGATTACGGAGACGAAGAGAGAAATGAGCAGAGAGAGAACACAGAGATAAAAAAAACGGAGGGAGACTAAAAGAAAGGAAGAAAAGGGGGAAAAATCAGCACGTTCGAGACACGTTCGCAAGAATTGCTTCTCAATGTCCGAACAAAATGGTGATGATCTTGCGAGACATTAGAAAAGTGATGAGTGATAATAAGGATGAATATGATGACATGTCGAAATTAGAAGATGCTAGTGATAGTGAGAAAGTAGGTATGCAGTGGAGGAGTTGTTGATTACATGACGAGCTCTTAGTGCTCAAATGAAAGTGGGTGACTTTGAGCAATAAAGGGAGAGCATATTTCATACGTTGATTAATGAATCATGTCTTGCGTACATATATAGGTAAATTCGTAATAGTTTACTTCGATGATATCTAGGTATAATAAGGATTTAAATGATCATATAGGACATTTAAGATGTGTGCTTGTATTCTTAAGACGGGAACAATTTTATGCCAACTTTAAAAAGTGTACATTTTGCATGGAAAAAGTTGTCTTTATTGGTTATGTTATTAGTGGAAAAGGAATTGAAGTAGATGTGGAGAAAATCAAAGCTATCAAGGAGTGACCAACGCCTAAAAACATGACCGATGTTATCACTACCTAACTTTAACAATACTTTCGAAACTGAATGTGATGCTATAGAAATAGGTATTGAAGCTGTCTTAATGCAGGAACGACGGCCAATAACTTACTTTAGTGAAAAACTCAATGGAGCAACTTTCAAATATCCTACATATGAAAAGGAGTTGTATGCACTTGTTCGAGCTTTAGAGGCATGACAGCACTACCTATGGCCAGAGGAGTTCATGATTCACACCGATTATGAGTCCTTGAAACATCTAAAGGGTTAAGGTAAACTAAAAACAAAAGGTATGCAAGGTAGATGGAGTTCATCGAGACGTTTTCATATGTTATTTGGTACAATTAAGGTAAAAAAAAATGTGATGGCGGATGCATTGTTAAGGAGATATATACTCCTTACTTCTTTAAGTGCTAAATTATTAGGATTTGAATATGTTAAGGACAGTATACTAATGACCCGGACTTTTCTAATATATATTAATCATGTGACAAATGTGTTATAGATAGATTCTTTAAACGTGATAGATATTTGTTTCAGGAAAATAAGTTATGTGTACCTAGGTGTACAATGAGAGAATTGTTAGTACGTGAAGCACATAGTGGATGTTTAATGAATCACTTTGGGATTAAGAAAACTTTGGATATGTTAAATGAACAATTCTATGTGCCTAAGATGAAGGTTGATGAGTCACTTTGGGATTAAGAAAACTTGTAAAAAGGCTAAGCCTAAGGTTTTACCTTAATGTCTGTATACTCCATTACTCGTTCTTGGTGAGTCTTGGGTTGATATGTCTATGGACTTTGTGTTAGATTTGCCAAGGACTAAGAAATGAAGAGATTCCATATTTATGGTGGTAGATAGATTTAATAAAATGGTGCATTTCATTCCATATCATAAAATTGATGATACCACAAATATTGCGAATTTATTTTTTAAAGAAATAGTGCACTTACATGGGGTATCTAGGAGTATTGTATCAGATAGGGATGTTAAGTTTCTTAGTCATTTTTGGAAGGTTTCATAGGGTAAGTGATAAGTGTGTTTTGCGCACTTAATGATGACATAAAATAGATTGATTGTTGTTATAGACGGCTCGAAAAGGACTTAATTCGTTACATATTATTTTTTTTGTAGGACTACATTGATGGAATGAACAAAAGTAAGCAAAAAGAGCCGAAAAGGACTAAAATACAAATCAACGAAAGTTTAGGGACTAAATCGCAATTATCCAAAAGTTGACCCAATTGATGAATCGAGCATGGAATTCTACTAAGGAGCTAATTGTCGATTACATGGATGACTAGAAGTAGAAGGAAGTGGAATCAAGGCTCAAAAGTGCAAGGAAAGAAGATTGAGGACCAAATTGAACAACCAAAAAAATCCTCTTTCCTTGCGATCGCCCAAACATCAACAGGAAGCCAAAGAGGGCAATTCAATTGGTCCTTGCGATCGCAAGGTAGGTTTTCTGCGCGAAATTTGTTAGTTTCCTTCTTCAATTCAAACACTTATGGAAGGTTATTTTGGCACTCTATAAAAATCAAAACTCGTGTAGAATTAGGGTTTAGGCATTCTTAGAGAGAAAAAGTCGATTTTGAAGACCAAGGAGAAGAGCTTGAGCTAGGGTTTCACCTCAAGATCCAAAATTCAAGCTTTAACTTCTACTTTTTGGTGATGTTTTCTTTCTATCATTTTTATTGTTGTTTTAATTTCACTATGCTAGGCTAGACTTTTTATGTACTAGGTGAACGATGAACCTCGCATTATGATCTCTTTATTTCTATTTTGCAATTTGACAATTAAACACGTTTGATGGTTATTGAATGGTTTATATACACTTCTTGTCTCCGTGATTATAGTGCACGATAATTGTGTGAGTTTAGGTGGTTTATTTCATGCATTCGAAAGAAGGGAAATAAATTCAACAAGGTATAAATCGTCGTTTTGTTCATAGAGGATAGAAATATACCGATATGCATTACGTGAATCTCTAAGTGTTTACAAAACTACATGCATTCTTATATATTGCATTTGTCATAGAAATATAGTCAAATGGTATACTAGGATAGGTTCAATTCTACTCGAAAGAGATTGTTGGATAGGTTAGAAACATTGATTCTTCAAACGATTCATCGTGTTGTCAAATTGTGATATAGGGGTTAAGAGTGAACTTTGCTAGGTGATTCGGGATCCTAGTACGCTTTTCCATACATTAATTTCTTCAACTTCCGCATTCAACCATCATTTTGCATTTAGATCGAATTCTTAGTTTAAATTGCATGTTATTCATAAATTCGTCATAAAATCACAAAAACAACCATCTTGAGTTTTATAGTTTCGGTTAAAATCACATTAGATCAATCCTCGTGGGAACGATACTCGAAATTCTTGAATTTCCACTTTATTACTTGTGAACGATCCGTATACTTGCGGTGATTTAATTTCGAAACATATTTTCGTGAACAGTAAGTTAGGAACTAAGCTACTATTCTCTACAACATATCACCCACAAATGGATGGGCAAATTGAGGTTGTTAATAGGATTATAATACAATAATTGAGCACTATAGTCAATAAGAACTTGAAGAGTTGGGAGGATTGCTTGCCATTCATAGAATTTGCATATAATAGGGCCACACATTCTACTACTTCTTATACTCCATTTGAAATTATTTGTGGTTTTAATCCACTGACACCTTTGAATTTAATTCTTTTACCTGTTGATGAGAGATGTAGCTTAGATAAAAAGAAGAAGGTCGAGTTGATAAGATCCCTCCATGAGAATGTACAGTGCCAGATTGAGAAGAAAAATGAGCATTATGCTTCTCAAGCAAATAAGGAACGAAAGCGCGTTACATTTGAACCGGAGATTGAGTTTGGGTGTGATACGTGTAGTTTATACACTTATATACATGTAGAGATAAGAGGAAGAAAGGACACGGCTTACACAGAAATTTCACGTTTCGTCAATTTTTAGTGATAGCTTTTCACTTTTTCATATTTTTATTTTTACAATATGAATAACTAATTTTTATATTATGGAAAATAATGTTGTCAACTTGTGATCCTTTATTTTTTTGTTCAAGATTTATGTAATTTATTTATTTATTTGTTGGTTTTATTATGAGTTTAAAGTATTAAATTATCTAAACAATAATTTGATAATTATGTGAGTCTCTTACAAATCGAGAGGTGAGTTTGAGGTTTAGACCATTTAATAAAATTCGGTAACTTAGTGTAACGTGTAGAGATACATATACTAATTATTGCAATCATAATATGAATTCTTAGAACCGGTGTTTCGTTTGATTAAAATTGATTCGTATAGATATGTGGAATTTAATTAGTTAAATAGGCTCAATGAGAATTCGAGATGGGTAAATTGAATATAATAGAAGAATTTGATCGAAGACTACATTAGGTTATGAATCTTGAATAAGAATAAATGTGATCAATAGATGAAATTATTATTCCCTAATATTCATCACATATTTGAATTTTCAATCATCCGTTATTTGCAATCTTTTTATATTTTTAATTAGTTACAAGTAGTTAGGAAAAATAATCATGACCATTATAATTATTTACTTGCTTTTGTCAAATAGGAGTTAGAAAAATTATATTAAGTCCTAAAGTATAGTCTTTGTGGGAACGATATTAGGACTCAAAGTTCCACTATACTATTTGTTACGATATCGTACACTTGCGACATAAAAAACGCAATAGGGTGCATATGAGAAATGAACGTTTTCCGGCTCAATGGAAGTAAAAGTTGCAATCAAGAGCGATGGACCATTCCAAGTATTTGAAAAGATTAATGACAATA